TCGACCCGGGCTATCGTGTCTGTGCTGACTCTTTGAAAGAGCTACCAACTAATGCCACTCCCCCTCTCTTACCCCGTAGCCACGCTAATGATTCCTTTTAAAGTACCTATCATAATTACTGTAAAAGTGGGAATGTGTTGCTTAGGAGATCTTCCACTAAAAATCATCTCTCCATCTCCCCCCACTTTCCTCTCTCTCTCTCTACTAATGTCTTCCACAACAGAAGAAAAGATAAATTGCTCCGATCCTTCTTGTACCTTGTGTTCTCAGCTCTGAGCCGAGAAAACAAAGTTGCTTTGACATGTGTCTAGAGCTGAACTGAGTTGTATTCACTGCACGGAAACCGAGGGCTGTGCGCTGGGAAACAGCAGCCAGCAAAGTCTTTTAGTGAATGAGGCTTTTATGTGTTCATTCCTGGCTCAAGCCAGAGTCCTCGGAGAGATTATTCAGCAATCTGAGGCGAAGCGGTCATAAATTCCTTAAATGCAACCCTGTAAATCAGCCGACAGACAAGAACAAGAGAAAGGAAGCTCTCCCCCCCCCCACCTCCACCCCACCACCTCCCCTCGTGACCAATAAACAGTAGGGAGATGGGATGGGTTTGGGAGGAAGTTTTGTGTGTGTGTGTGGGAGAGGGTTCTATTCCTGAGGTCACTGGCGCTAACGCCTGATTTATTGCTAATGACAGTTTTAATAAAACGAAACGCTCTCTGTGTAAACATGGGCGGGGGGGGGAATAGGAATTAGGGAATTAGAAAACGCCGCGGAATTTGGTTTGCAATTGGCTTCGCTTATCTGAAATTAAATTGCTATCCACACACACACACAATATTAATCCCCCCCACGCACACATAACCTGCTGACTATTTGGAGGTGATGGGAGGGAAAACTGATAGGTTTCAGCTCCCAATCAACATTCAACACCCTCCCCACCCCCAACCTCTGCTAGAAAATATATGCCCCTGAACATTAGGGAGGGCAGATACCAGGAGGCTTTTGGAGACAACAACAAATCACATCTGTACAGTGGCCTTCACTTCGGGAGGATGTTCCAGGGCGCTGGGGCAGGGGAGTGGGTGGGAGTGGGTGGGGAAGAGCGAGTTCCAAGGGGTAAGAGACATAGTGTCTGAAAGTTCGGGTGGGGGGAGACACACACTCCCCGGGATCACAAAGAATGGCCTCTTTGTACAAGGTGACAAGAGGGGGAATTGGATGTCAACTCGGACCAATTTAAGACCCAGTGTTTGCTGAGAAGAATGAGGGAATGTGAAAGAGGAATGCGGAGAGAGGAGGGGGGGTTGAGTTGTGTGTGTGTGTGGGGGGGGGGGGGTTGTGGGAATGTTTGTTGCTCCTGTTCTGATTTATTCAACGTTTGGCTGAATAGGACTCAGCAGCTGTGTGTGTGGGGCGGCTGATAACAGCCCGTGAGAGGTTAGTGTTTTGGACACAGATGAGCAGAGACCTTGATTTGTGTGGAAACCTGAAGGTGTTATCAGCCGGGAAAAGCAGCTGAAATGGCAGTAGGATGAAGACAGACAGGATCCATCTCACTCAGCGCCACGGCCAGTGAACCTTAGGACGGGTGAGACCTGTTCAGGTGGAATTTAAACGGGACTGTTCAAAAAGAGAAGGGAGTTTCTCTCTCCCGGTGTCCTGACCGACAATCCCCCAAACGCTCTGGGACGCTATTAATGCAAGTTGTTGTTGTTGTTGTTGTTGATTGGGCAGGCACGGAAACAGGCTTTGCCCGAACGGCTGCCCGTGATCACAAGATCGGTCTGGAGGAACTCCGATCTCATCCCTCCAGTCCCACCACCTCTCCTCTCTCCGACAGTGATCTGACCTCCACACACACCCAGTCTCAATAAAAAACGTTTTGGACGACTTAAAAAAAAACTTTTTTGCCGTGTGTGTGTGTTCCCCCCCCCACCCCACACTCCGCCCCCTGATCAGAAGCAAACCGCACGCCTCTGGTCTATGATAGTTCACAGAAAGCACCTAATATCCCTCGATCATCAGCCTGGCTCAGTTGGTCACACACTCTCAAGTCAGAAGGTTGTGGGTTCAAACCCCATGTTAAGACTCTAGACTGAGGTTCCAATACAGCACTGGGGGAGGGGATGGGAGCGCTGTGTTGTAGGAGGCACCATCCTTTGGATGGGACTAGAAACCAAGGTCCCGTCAGTGCCTTGTTCAGATGGACATTAAAGATCCCGTGGCACTAGTTTGTGGGACGCTGCTGTGTGCAATTGGCTGCCACGTTTCGCCCATAAAACACACAGTCACTCCACTTTATGGTATGTTCTGTCAGGCGCTCTGACACGTCTCAATGACGTGATAAGGCGCTCTATCAAATGCAAGGATTATTATTAATAATATTATTATTACAGTAATATTATTGCAATATTATTCAGATGACTGAATGCGGTTTGGGATTTTTTTAACTTAATTACATTTTCTTTTATTTTGTAAGGCACCATAGATATTTCCTTACAGCACTAGCAAACTAATACACTTTTTTGTTTCTTTTAAGACATAATAAATGTATTTGAAACACCGGCACATTAATCATCTTCAACACAATTTGCATACATATTTCATACAAATGTATACCGCTTCATTGGTAGCTCACAGCCTGGCTGTATCGGGGGGTGGAGGGGGTGGGGGGGGGGGAAACAACGACAACAGGTGGGGAGAAACAAAATGGGAATGTGGGGAAAGAGAGGGGGAGGAGCAAAAGCAATTTTTTTGTCTTTTCTTTTGAAGTGATAAAAGCTTTTTTGGAAGGTCTCAGCAAAGAATGACAGATTAAGTCAACGGTTGTGGAATTTTCCCAAGCCTCCTCCTCCCCCCCCCCCCCCCCCACACACACACACACAAAAAAAGTTTTATTTCATTACAGAACCACATCCAGAAGCGCTAGTTTATTTTGTTTTTTTAAAATAAGTTTGCTCTGAGCACCCCCCCCTCTCCCTTGAAAAAAAATTCTAGTGGGGGAGGAAGGGGGAACGACAATGTAGACCATCAACTGAGATCAACAGTTTTTTCGGGGGTGAGGGGAGAGATGAACTTTATTTGAATCAGCATTAGCACACAATTAGGGTCAAATCAGACTCATAAAGACTTTTAAAAGTGATTTGGGGGGGCGGGAGGGAGGGGGGGAAAGATTTGCGTGTGGTGGGGTGGGGGTGCCTTTCTGTACAATTCCACAGTTCCCGTAATATTCAGCATCATCATGTTATCGAAAGCGTTCCTCGCATATTATGCAACAGAAAACGTTTTGTTTAAAAAAAAGGCTTCCCCCCCCCCCCTCCCCACCACACCACCACCAAAAAAAAAAGTACTTTTATTTGCAACCGGTTAAGGGGCGGTGGTCGGGAGGGACAGCACGTCGCGGGGAAACTCTTCCGTGAACTAAAAGTAAAACTCAAAAGCAATGTCCCATCACGAGCGAGGCTGGATGTCAGGGGCCTCATCAGCTACCAATACACACAGGGAATTGGAGGCATTCCCTCCCATTCCCTCCCTTTCACCCCCTCCTCTCCTCTCCTCCACCCACCAAACACCCCCCCCACCCAACGCTCCCGTCTGTGTTGGATCAAATCCGAGATTACAGAACTCAATGTTGCACATCGTTGCCATGCAAGTCACCAGGGGTTGAATGCCCATATAAGCACAAAGCCTTTTTATATATAATATATATATTGGGGGTGGGGTGTGGGGGGGGGGGGCGGGCGGCGAGAGAGAGGGGGTGGTGGTGGGGGGGGGGGGGAAGAAGGGGAAAAGAACTTGCGATTACACGGGTACAGCCTATTGACCGATCTGCAAGACAGCACGGTTAAGTGCGTGTTTAACGTGTGTGCGGTTCACTTCATTAACTTAGATTAAAAATTAAATTAAAACATGGAAGTGGCTCTAATGCAGTCGGACTCTGTTAAGACGGTGTTTTGGGGTCTGAAATCAGACTCCTCCCCTCTCCCCCCCCACTTCCCGGCGCTATAACAGAGCAGCGTTTACCAAAAATGTCCTCCGCTCTGAGGTCACTTCCCGTCCGGCCTGCACTTAGCTGTTGCGCGCAGGAAGCCACCTGTGTAGACGCGCCGCGTTATAAGCAGACCTCGCGCTGTACCAGGGCGCCTTGTAACAGGGTCCGACTGGATCTGCTCACTCCCTTTCCCCGTGTTTCACCTCGTACATAGCAAAGAAAAAATCAAAGCAAATTGTGATCATCACTGCAATTGACAGTACCTGTTCAACCCAGGTGTAAACCTGCGCCCCCCTATTTCCGGTCCCCCACGCCCCCCCCCCCCCCGCTAGATGGGGGTTTGCTGATGGGTCAGGAAAGGCTTCCAGGCCACGGTAGTCCCCAATCTGCCCCAACTTGGAGCGATGGACACACAGGTCGTACAGTCCTAAGAGTTCTGGGTAGACTGTCTCACTCCCTGGGGGGCGGTGGGTGGGAGTTGGGGGGAGATGGTCAGTCTGGAGGTAAGCAACAGTACCGGGGGGTGGGGGGGGGGGGGGCAAACAACAAAAGCAACCAAAGTTCTTGCAGTTGTTTAAAGGTGTGCGGTCTCCTCGTCAGGTCCGGGAATGAGACCCCCCCCCCCCCCCCGCTTGGTAATGTCACTAAAGCTGTGAACCTGTCACCACCACCGCACCCCCCCCACCCATACCAGAGTCCGTCACTGTCTGCGGAGGTGTTTTATGCTCAGGTTCCCTCCCCAAGTCTGACAAACCTTTTATTGGGTCAAGTATCTGTTAAGAGCTCCATGTAAACCATGTGCAAACTCAAGAGCCATAAAATGCGCCATGTGTAAACTCACATGCAGAGATTTTGTAACCAAAACTAATAATAATAATAATAATCCCTGCATTTGATATAGCGCCTTATTACGTCTTCGAGACGTCTCGAATCGCTTCACAACTGTAGCGTAAAGTGGATTGACTCTAATATTTTATGGGCGAAACGTACGTAATTAGCAACGGATATGTTCCAGTGGGTTGTTAATTACTTTATTAAGGGCACGTCGATTTCCCCCCCCCTCTGGCACAAAGTACAGTAGTGCTTACACATGGTTTACACATGGCGCATAATATTTAACAGTGTTTACACATGGTGCATAATAGCTGTTGAGAATGTGTCAGATCGTTTCTGGTGACCTCCCCACCTTGACTGCCTCGTTAGGCCACTCCGAGCCACGCCCTTAATTGCAAACAATGATCTCATGTTAACGAAGACTCTATCTACGCCCTTTTGAAGTGTTATCCTTGGATTCGGTTCCATTTGCGCGCGGGTGCCTGTGCCAGATTTTGTGAGCGCGTGTGGGAGACTGGGCGAGTGCACGAGTGAGACGTGGCGCTCATTGTAGGGTCTGTACGGGCGAGTGTGTCAATGTTGGATGCGTGCGATGCGTGAGCGCGAGTGCACGCGAGTCAGTGTGTGTGTGTGAGCGCGTGTCTGTGTTCATGCGTGCTCGAGCATGAGCCGACCGTTTCCACGCACGTTTTTTTTTAGAGTTTACAAACCCCATTCTCCTCACTATTGATGACTCCCACAGCTCGCTCGCTAACTGTGGCTGATAGTGTATAGTTGGGGGGGGTGTCGGGGAGAGGATATAACAACGACAGTCACTGCAATCTTGGTGACCCAGTTCAAGGGGTCCATGGGGGTCAAAAAGGTAGGGAGTGGGGGGGGAACAGAGGACAATTTGATGACCTGCGGCTCCAATCAATCTGAAGTAGAGGTTGGTGAGAGATTGCACCAGTGACCACACACCGAGTCCACGAGCCCTCGCCCGAGCCAAGATGTTCCCTCCCGACCCCCCCTCGTCACGTCCCGACAAAGCAAGGCCGCCCGTGCGTGCTGACAGAGATAACACTGCGGCTGTTAACGTTGACTTCGCTCTCCTCAATAACACACACAGCACAAAATATCGCCCGCCACCCTCCCAGAAATATACAGGCATTAAAACGAACATCAAAGACCATTTGAGGGTTGTGGCGGGGAACGACGGTATGGGGAGAGGGAGGAGCTTAAAGATGGGGCAAGTGTGTATGTAAGGGGGTGGGGGGCGCAGTTTGGGGTCAAAGGAGGGAATGGGGGGGAGGGGGTTCAGTTAGTCGGGTTTCTGCACCCCCTCGTCTCTCTGGTGGTCTCCGTCGTGGTGGTTCTTGTCGTCTTTCGTGGTGAGGTGGATCTGGGAGCCCAGGGCGCTGGACAAGGCCAGGAGCCCGGCGCTGGCACTGACCGAGGGGATGACCGGGGGCTGCAGGCCAGCGGGGAGAGGGGTCAGCGGCACCGTCAGCCCGTGCAGGTGGGACAGCTGCTGTGCCTGGAGCTGCTGCTGCAGAGAACAGAGAGAGAGGATTGGTCAGAGGAACGTAGAGCGCACAGTGTGTGTGTGTGTGTGTGTGTGAGTCTGCGCTCAGGGCTGTTATTCTGGGCGCAAGTTGTTGTTGGGTCTGTAGCTGTCTGTCTGTCCAGCGCCTTGGGACGTCCCCCTGACGTAATGTAATTTTATTGTTGCTGTTATTGTTGGCGGGCACACACGTGTTGTGTGTCGAGTGCACGCGGGAGTGCGTGTGGCCGCGAGAACGTGCGCGCGTATCTGTGTGAGCTCGATAGCTGTATGTGTGTGATAGCAAACTCGAGTGAGCGCACTTCAGTAGGGCCTGGAAGGAGAGAGAGAGGGCAAGAGGTAATGAGTGAGTGAGGATGATTACCAGGATGATTGTGCTATCATAAATGGGGGGGGGGGGGGGGGAGAGGCAGGAGAGGGGGGGAATGGAGGGGAAGGGGGGGAGGTGTGAAGGGTAGGTAGGAGTCACGTACCCTGATGACAGTGTTAAGCTCTGGGGCTGTCACTTGCTTCGCACGTTCTATCGCCTGAACCACCTGTTGCTGATGCTGCAATAGAGATGCGAGACACGTCAGTGTTAAACGGAGCACAGACTCACGACAATGAGAGCGCAGCGGGCACGATGACAACCTCACGTTAGTGTGGCAATGTCCTGTCCCTGTGCCACCCCATCGACTGGGAAAGCGAAGGGCAATAGGCGGTGTATTGATGTCACTGTGTACTAGGCTGTCAGATCAAACAGTGTTAATGTGTGCGCTCACCTCCTGAGATAAGAAGGGAATGACTTGAGCACAGATCCCGTTCAATCTTTTGACGATTTCAGCCTGGAAAAAAAAAAAAATATATTATATATATATATATACGGCTCAGCACATCTGGTGACGTTACCAACACGACAACACAACAACAACACATTGCATTTACACAGCGACTTTCACGCCGGGAGGTTTGGACCCGAGCTGTGGGGCTGGGATCGGAAGGGGTGGAGGGCGGGGAGGGTTGAGGGGTTGGAGGGTGGCTGAAAGCCCGGTCGAAGCGCAGGATCTTGAGACGTACCTTGCAGGTGGCAAGGGAGCGGGCGAGGCAAGGGAACTGTGGGATGGAGTTCCAAAGGGCGGGGGGGGGCAGAGAGGCTGGAAGCCTGACTGCTGACGGTGGTGGGTGGGTGGGTGGGTGGGGGGGCTGCAGGCTGAGCAGAGCGAGTAGATAGGTTGACAGGGATGTAAATCGAAGACAAGGCATCTAAAAAAAAAACCCTTAAGAGACGCTAGCCCGAGTCAGAAGGGTTAATCTCCTTTTTGTACGTACACACCATATACACACACACACACACACACACACATATACACAGAGCTGTCAGCTATTAGCCCAGCCAAGAGAACAAAGAACACAGATTAGAGGCAGATTAAGAGATCTGAATAATGGCCCAAAGACAGTTATTTGCTGAAGCAGCTTAATTTTATTTAGATGCTTGGGAGCTCGTCTGACGTGACCAGCGGTTGCCTGGGAGACGGCAGTGGAGACGGCAAATTGCTTTGCTAATCGCACCACTTATTTTCCCCAGACAAGCGCCGGGGAGAGGCTAAGGCCAGGACATCTCAGGCGCTGATTGAATTAGAAGCTCCCTTCCCCTCAGTGATAATATGCTTTACTAAAGCTCATTGATCGCCTGAGCTCAGGCAGTGAGGATGCAATGATTACCGCGCTGTTGTAAACGATTAATCTTCGGGAAAGCGATGGAAAAGGATCTGCCTCACCTCGTCGCCAAGGGAGAGATCGTGCCAACTCCCACCCACCCCACCGGCACCACCAATAACACGCACTGGCCTGGCTCAGTCGGTTAGCACTCTTAATAATAATAATAATAATCCTTGCATTTGATACAGCGCCTTATCATGTCGTTGAGACGTCTCAAAGCGCTTCACAGGATATACAGTAAACTGAATTGACTATATATTTTGTGGGAGAAACGTGGCAGCCAATTGCGCACAGCAGCGTCCCACAAACAGTCATGGATTGAATCACCGAATTATTATTATTATTGTTTTTTTTGAAGGATTATTAATCCGGGAAAACGATCTGCCAGTCGACTAACAGCTGGGTTCTTACTTACTGCTCGGTAAACAGAGATGTGCGGAGTAATGAAACTTGACTATGGGTTTCGTCCTGCCCCGGGAATCGAACCCGGGTCCTCACAAGACGTCTCCAAGGGCTTCAAGGGGCTCACTGTAAAGTGCAGTGACTGTGTATTATAAAATCTGTGGCTGCGCTTTCAGCCACTAGGCCCCGAAACTCTGAAACGCTCTCCCTCAATCCCTCTCCTTTGTGCCTGACGACTTTCCTCCTTGGCCGTGCTATAAAAGCAAGTTGTCGTCGTATTTTGGAGACACAAATCCAAACTGCAACGCCAATGTTGTGAAAAGCAGCACACAAGTGCGAAGCATGTCGTATGTGCTCGCTCCTAGTTAAGGCTTTCTAGAAGAACGGAGCGATCTTGTTTCCGGAGCAGATGGAATCACATCAAAGACAGAACCACAACAGCTGTCTCCGTGATTCGAAGTCGGGTCACATTTCCAGGAATGTCCATGGAATGAATAATAAAGATAGTCGTTGGTGGCGCATTTACTGAGGGCAGTGAGTGGATTTTACACAGCGGCCTGCCACATCCCAGGGTGGGGTGGGGGGAGGAAATGATTTTTACCAGGAGCTGATTTGGCAAATTATCTGGACACTTCCCTCGCTCCTCCAATTTACTGAGGATCAGGAGGAGTTGCAATGGTTCCCAGCTTCCCAATCCAATGTGAAAGATCAGCCACGAGCTATTAGAAGGGTGGAACAGGCTCGAGAGGCTGAATGACCTCCTCCTGTTCCTGTCACAGAATTACACAGCAGGGCAGGAGGCCATTCGGCCCATCCTGAATGTCCTGGCTCGATGAAAAGAGCTATCCAAATCAATCCCACTCCCCTGCCCTCTCCCCATAGCCCTGCAAACCTGCCCTCCCCACCAAATGTTCCACCCAAAGCCAGGATAGGAATTTCGGGACATGCTCCGGGGATTAGCCTCGCCCAGATACCTGCTCGCTATCCTTGGAATGTCAAACATGCAGCATGTTACACTGTGAAGGGAACCATTGTTCAGACAGCCTGATGCCTGATGTGGGAGGTGCTCAGTCGTTTGGGAGCCAGGAGCACCCACAGCCCGTAAAATCTCCCCAGCCTCAGCCACGAGACCGTCTGGTCTTGTCGCTTGACCTCAGACAAAGCTGCCGGTAAATCCAGGGCTGCTTTGCCAGGATCAGTAACCGGGAGAAACTCCCTTTTCCGCTCTCTGCCAGTGCGGTGGGAACTTTAACGTCCGCCTGAACAGGGCACAGAGGGGGAACCTCGATTTATTATTAATAAATAATAATAATCCTTGCAGTCGATATAGCACCTGACCTATAATCCCCCGAAATAAAGTTGGTCTTGTTTCATGGCTGTTTGTGGGATGTCGCTGTGCTTTGCCTACAAACACACAGTCACAGTAAATCCCGTGAAGCGCTTTGAGGACGTCCTTCCGAAGTGATAAGGCGCCAATTCAAATGCAAAGACTATTATTGTTGTTATTAAGAGGAAGGATGAAGAACGAGCGAGAGCAGAGCCTACTTCACAGGAGAGGCGAGCGTTCAATCACAACATCAGCCTCTAAATGGGAACCCAATGGCAAACCAGCAGGCCCTTTAATTATTCCCCGCCGTTAAGCAAATGCCATTAAAATACTGCAGCTCCATGTCTCACAGCAGAGAGGAGGGAAGGTCTGACACACACACACACCCCCCTCCATCCCCCCCACCAGCTCTTGCACAACGTAAAGCTCAGGCGTTTCCACTCGACTGGACAAATTAGCCTTAGAGGTAAATGGCTCTTCAATGTAACCTGCTCATTATCCGGAAGCCCATTACCCAGCCCAGCGCCTTAGAGGGACAATTCCATCCTAACTTGCTGACTCGCCACATTAACTCCTTAAAAGCTATTACAACAACAACAAATTACATTTGCGCAGCGCCTTTCACACCGAGAGGACGTCCCAAAGTGCTGGCGGATCAAGGATTCCCACCCGAGCTGGGGCTGGGATCAGGAGGGCCGGAGGGAGAATAAGGCGCGAGGCATTGCGGGCAGAGCAACAGATAAATAACAAGCTTCGCCTTGGCTGTACGAGGACTGTCACGTCGGGAGGACACCCCAAAGCTGTAAAGTGCGGAGACGGTGTGCTTTGTGGGTGAACGCAGCAGCCAATGTGCACGCAGCAATGTCTCCGCAGATTCTTCCCAGGGCCTTGGGACGTCCTCCCGAGGCGAAAGGCGCTGTACAAATGTTGCTGATGTTGTTGAGAACCTCATCAAGGCAGAACTATTCAGGGTATTTGTGGATTCTGGGACTCGGAAGCCAGCCAGGCCTTCGTTTCTGAAGCGCCCCCTGAATTTTCCCCGTGACGTCTGATTGCAAGCAGCGCCACCCTGTATAATAGCAGCTTTGTGTTAACACGGACTGACTGGCATTTCCTCCCTCCCTTTATTAAGGGAAATGAAACGCGCTCATTAAACAGAAACAAGTCCGGCCTTTCAGGTCTGTCTGAGGCAATAGCTCTCTCTTCCTCAGGGGTCGCTAGTCGCTGCCTCACACAAGCCGGGAATCCAATGATATATCATTTAATACAGTAATAATAATAATCCTTGTATTTGATATTATCACGTCAGTCAGACTGTGTCGGTCAGTGTAGAAACAAGCGTTTCTACGGTGTTAATGGGCGTTTCCGCTAAGTTTTTTTTAATGGGGGGGTGAGTCGGCTGTGGGGGTGAGGGGGAGGTTGAAATAATTGTATTCAAAAAGAGAGAGTTCATATCGAGGACAGGCACTGCCTTACAGCGAAAGCTGGTTAGTTTGTATGAAGGTACGGCAAGGCTAAGCTTCTGCGATTGGAGCGCTAACGATACGAAGACGCCTTCCGGCTGCCCGTTGGATCAAACTTATTTATTTAGAAAAAGCCGAGTGGTTTGTCTGCCCGGGGGTTGGGGGTTGGGGGCTGTCAGTGAAACGGGACGTGGAAACGCGAGTCTGAGGAGCTCGGGCTGCGAGACCGTCAATAGTAACGTAATAATAATAATAATCCTGGCATTTGACACAGCGCCCGATCACGTCGTTGAAACGTCTCAAAGCGCTTCACAGGATACGCTGTAAAGCGAATTGACTGTGTATTCTGTGGGAGGAACGCGGCAGCCGACTGCGCACGTCAGCGTCCCCACACACAGCCGTGGATTGAGTGACCGCATTATTTTTTTTACCCCTGGAAAGCGATCCGCCAATCAACCAACAACCACGTTGCAAGTTACTGACAGGTGAGCAGAGGCGTGTGGAGTAAGGAGACTTGCCTAAGGTTTCACCCCGCCCGGGAATCGAACCCAAGTCCTCTCCCTTATGAGACGACTGTGCTAACCACTACCTCTGTACTCATGAAAGCCCATTACATAACGGCCGCGATGATTTCCTGAGGCAGGAGGATAGCGGAGACCGAACGATAGACAGGGGCAACGAGAGAAACAAACAAACAAACAAACAAACAAAAATAATCAACATTTACTTTTTTAAAAAATAAATATTTAATCGAGGCTGAAAGTTCTGAAAGCTCTAATAAGCGAGGCTGGGGCCATTACTAATTCAGGAGTCAAATGAATCCCGTCTGCACTTTCAATTAAAAATCAGTCAATTATTCATCAACATACAATTGGAAAATAATACCCCCCACTTCCATACCCCACCCCCAAAATACCATCAAACTCATCTAATATATATATATTAAAAGACAGTTTGTCCTGAGACATGCGCCAATTTACACCAAGTTTCATCCTCAGAAAGTTGTCAGTAAACACTTATTAACCAAAAATAATAAATACTATTATACTATGATACTATGATAATAAATATCACTCAATCCACAACTATTTGTGGGACACTGCTGTAGGCAGTGATTGTACAGTCACTACACTTTTTTATATTATATATATATTATATTATACTTTTTTATATCCTGTGAAGGGCTTTGAGACGTCTCGAAGACGTGAAAAGGCGCTGTATCAAATGGAAGGACTATTATTATTATTATACCCAGGGTGCCAGAGAAACGTTTTGAATAATTAATTACTAAATAAATAAATAAATAAATAAACGAATAAAAAGCTGACATTTACCTGTTTGTGCATTTCAATATTCAGCCCGTATGACATTTCGTAGTACTGGGGAGGGGAGGGGGGGAGTGGGGAAAGAAAGGAAAAAAAAACAAAAGACAATGTCACTTCAAATGCCTTAACTTCGAAGGTCGTTTTCACAAAACTTCGGGACACGAGTGAGTCTCGGCAGCGGGGGTTCGGGGGTGGGGTGGAGGGGGTGTGAGGAGAGCGGATGGGGGTGAACGGGAAAGGCGGAGGAAGAGAGGTGGGGGTGGGATGGGGGGAGAAATAAAACAAATCCCTCTTACCATGACGTAGTGACGTTGCATTTCTGTTTTCTCATTGGCCAGTTTGTCACATTCCAACTTGAGGCTAAAACCAAAGTTGTCGAAAAACAAAGTCAGTTTAGTTTTCTTAAACCTCAGATATTTATTTTATTAGCCCCCCCCCCACCCCACCACTCCCTCCCCTTCCTTCCACCCCCCCCCCCCCATAAAAAAAAGTCTTCGGAAAAGTTCTTTGAGGTTTCCGCGAAACAAACGCGTAAAAAAAAAAGCATTTAGAAAGCAACATAAGGTTCAGAGGGTTCCCTCAGTGTCATGTACCGCCATTAATTTTTAAAATGTAATTATTAGAAGGGTGGGGGGGGGATAGCGAGGTAGTCAGGTGGTGGTGGTGGGGGGGGGATAGGGATAGTCTGCTGCAGGACTCATACCCACAGCACTTTCTGCCCTCCCCAGAACTCACTCGTCTTAAAAAAAAACACTCCCTCGCCCTCCTCTCCTGACTGACTACACTTCACGATTGGAGAGCAGGAGAGTGATGAGCCCGGTCAAAGTTACGAGCATCAACCTGTAGGGTAGTGTACAGAGTGCTCGCCTCGCAAACCAGAGGACCGACCTGGGTTCGATTCCCGGGTGGGCCAGGGCGAAACCTTTCTCCAAGTTTCCTTACTCCACACACACACACACACACACACAGACCTCTGTTTACCTAACAGTAAGTATTCCGGGGGTAATAATCCCGTCATAAAAAAAACAGTTGTGAGCTGAACAACACGTTTAGATATCGTCAGAACCCCCCCCTCCCATGCGCTGGAGCATCAGCCCAGACTGTGAGCTCAAAGTCCAAGACGTTGGGGGCTTGAAACCCACCAATTTCTGACCCAGAGGCAGGAGCTCACTGAACCTTTGCTTCCCTGAGGTTGTATATTGGGTTATAATTAACCTGAACATTCTGTAGCCGAAGCAAATCCTTAACCAGTATATTACCAAAACAACCGTTAATACAACTAGGAGCAAGTGTCCTATAAATCTACTGCTGAACAGAGGGCGGAAACACACACACACATGTCTGTACTAAACATTACACCAGTCAGACATCTAAAGATTACATTTGGAAGAAATAGGTTAGTTAATAACCCAATGACACAACAGTCTGGGGCTGAAGTCCACAAGTTGAGGTTTCGGTTAGGAAGCCCTTCGCTGCCGAATTTCTGGCTCCCTAAAACAACCTAGCAATGACCTCTGAGGTTTTGCCCACAAAACACACAGTCCCTACACTTTACAGTACATTCTGTGAAGCACTTTGAGACGTCTCGACGACATGATAAGGCGCTATATCAAATGCAAGGATTATTATTATTATAATTGCTTCATGAGCCACTTTCAGTTGTCCACAAAGCACAGAGCGGGATCAAGGATAAAAGGTGGTTGTTAGGTTCCAGTTTCCAATTGCTTCTTTGGCCAGGCTGGTCACTATGTCTCATCAGGCCAACCTCCACGGCAATACCAGATACAAAAGATAATAATAATCCTTGCATTTGACGTAGCACCTCAGCAAGTCATTGAAACGTCTCAAAGTGCTTCACAGGATTTATTGTACAGTGAATTGACTGTATATTTTGTGGGTGAAACGCGGCAGCCAATTGCGCACAGCAGCGTTCCACAAACAGATGTGGAGTGAGTGACCAAATGGAAAGACGGATTCCAACATGTCCCATCCAACAAGACTGAACACACTGACTGAAACACCCCAACCTCTTGTTCTCACAGAGGATTTACTTTTGCAGCAACATCTTATCCAATGTCTCTACCGCTGTTGGACTTCACTTAACCAGTACAACAACAACAACATTTCATTTATAGAGCGCCTTTCACGTCGGGAGGACGTCCCAAGACGCTGGTCAGTTGGGTCAGGACCCGAGCAGGGGGGAGTCAGGGTGAGGGGAGGGAAGGGAGCGAGGAGGAGGTAGAGAGTCAGGAGGGGAGCTGAAGGCACGGGAGGACGTCCCAAGTATTCTAGCCAGTGTTGACCTTTCTCTCAGTCGGCTCTCAACTCAACGCGTCCCTCCGCTGGGTAATACCGAGAGTGGCCAAAGTTGATGTCAGTCCCATCAGTGCACGTCGAGGTGGCTTTCCATTTGCCTAAACCAATTGCTTTTCACATCTTCTCTTCCTTAACAGTGCTCAGCGCCCAACTCTACGCATTGCAGTATCCTCGGGATCCGATGAATATTGACTTCCAAAGACAGGTTGCCAATCATTCCCCCTTCGAGATCGCTGCCGCTCCAAGACAATCAACCTCGGCTTTTAAGAGTTACGTCTCGTTCCCAATCCCGTTTCTTCTGGTGTAATTTCCTAAGGAAAGCGTTCCTGATCCAACAACTTTGTTCCCTCTGGGAATATCTTCCCTTATTTTCAAGCGGCTCCTTCCCGAAAGATCTCGGCACATAAAAGAATCTATCGCTGACATTCTCAGGTTTGTCTGGAGGCTGAGATGAGGAGGTTAGCAGGTTGGAAGGACGGATGAGATGTTTGCCAGTCAAGAGCGGTACAGTTTGGATTCTGCAATTGGGACGCATGGTTTCACGTGTGCCTGGGGGGTGGGGGGGGCGCGGTGGGGTGGGGGGCTGGTTAGCTACGACCCTCTCCTTTCCACACTGACCCCCCCAATTGCAAGGTGTCTCCGAGACAGAAGGTCTGATCTCACTGTTTTTTGAGGAAGAGCCAGACATCGAAATCTGCGCTGGGAAATTAATCACCAGCGCGATCTAATAAATGGGCAGAACAGGCTTGAGGGGCTGAATGGCCTACTCCTGTTCACATCCGGGTGGGTGGTGGTGGTGGGGTGGGGGGGGGGAGGAATCTCTTTGAAATGTCATGAAAGTCGTGGGGTCGTTGCTGGAGTGAAGTGTGTCTGGAATGGATTTCAATGTGTTTTTTTTGTTGCTACCTTTGACCTCATTATCTGAAAGTAAAGCGATTTAAGGAAAAACGCTTGAGTCAGCGACATCGATATTTTTTGTGCGTCTGTGTGTGCGTGAGAAAGGAAGGACATTGGTTACCTGTGATACTGCGCCTGCAGAAACTGAAACTCATCTTTGATTCGATCACAGGAGTCCGAGGTAGTAAACTTCAACGGTTGTGCTGACTGTGATGGTGCCTTGCGATGGGGAGAATGAGAGAGAGAGCGTCAAAAAAAATAAAAGCCCAACAAATACAGCTCATCGCTCACACCAATTACCCCCCACGCGCCCCCGCACCCGCCTCACCGCGCCCCTCACGTCAAAACCTTCTCAAAACGCTTCACAGAGAATCGCTGTCAAGTTTAGCGACTGCGTACTTTGGAGTCAGCCAATAGTAATAATCCTCGCATTTGATGTGGCGCCTTATCGTGTCGTCGAGACATCTCAAAGCGCTTCACGGGACGTGCGTCGTTGGCTGCCGCGTTTCGCCCCGAAATAACGGGGAGGACAGGGCCAGAGCTCGCTCTCGTTCCCTGAGAAAAAGTCCGCCCCCGAATGTTGTCTCCTCTGGAAACTCGCGGGCCGGGCCGGGCGGCCAAAACAAGTTCAAACAAATAAAAGGAGAGGTCAGAGTTCTGGTGTGACATTGTGTACCCTGGAGTCCCGCCAGCCCAGCCTTGCCCAGCCCAGCCCAACCCGCTGGCGTTCAGCGATGCGAGGCGGACCTGGGGAGGTGAAGTGAGCGCTGGCTTCTTTTTTTTTTAAAGGATTCTTTCCAAACAAAAGCTCTCCACATCCCGCCCACAGCTCCCGCGCCAACGCAGCAGGCTCGGTTTCAGTAGAGCGGCAAGCGGAACGTGTGTTGAAAAATGTCTCGCGAGGCGAGAATGCTTCACTTCTGTTTTATTCATAATAATAAATCCTTGCATTTTATACAGAGCCTTTCAAGTCAGTTTGAGGTCTCAACGCATCAGGGGATTCACTGTAAAGTGTAGTGACCGTGTGTTTTACAACAATAATCACCCTTGCATTTGATCTAGCGCCTTATCACGTCTCTGAGACATCGCAACGCACTTCAGAGGATATACTGTAAAAGTGGATTCACTGTGTGCTTTGCGGGCGAAAAGTCGGAGGAGGCAAAATGGAATTTGTCTCGCGTTGCCAGATATTTACGGGCACCACAATACAGGCTGACATGCTCAGCAGTGATGCCAACACAACAACCATGAGGCCAGTGTTGAAACCAGGCTGGTCTCCAATCTTTGGAGTGATAAAAGAGAAGGTCGTCCTAACCTCAAATATGCCGAAGGGGTTGGGGGAGAGGGGGGGAAAGAGGGCGCGTGGGGGAGGGAAAGAGAAACAGTCCAAGTACTTCGCAACGTTTAATCTACAAAATGTTCTTTGTATACTTTGGCCGCAAGCAGAGCTTTTGGTTAGAATGAACAAAAGCCGCCTTGAGGAACCTGACGCTGTTTGAAGCAACGCGGACAATTTATATCATTGAGGCCAACAGCTGAGGTAAGGTATCGCTGGAAGGTTGACCCTCCATCTCGGTTTCAACCATCACCGACCCAACCGGCCACATGGGCAAAGTGCCAGTTGGTAGTGCCATGGCCTCCGATCCGCCACGATCCTAATAAACTGGCGGAACGGGCTCGGTAGGGGCTGAATGGGCTCCACCTGTGCACTGGTCAGCAAACTCAGCAGCCAATTTGCACATGGCGACGTCCCACCTACACCCAGGAGGTGACCGATCGATTTATCTGGGGCGCTGCGGGGAGGGAGGGGGCTGGGAGGGGGAAAGAGAGAGGAACTCCCTTCTCTTTTCCAATAACTACGTGGGATCTTTAATGTCCACCTGAACAGGAAACAGACGGGATTTGCGTTTAATTCAGGGCCAAATTACCATCCACCCACTCTCGATTCCCACCCCAAGATCGGGTGCAAACCCTCAACTGTCCAGCGCCTCAGGACGTCCTCCCGAGCGCAAAAGGCGCTGTTTAAATGCAATTTTGTGGTTGTTAATGTCTCCTCCGGTCCCTCGCCCCCCCATCACCGCCCTGCAGCATCAGCCTGGACACCAGCTCACTGTTGCAGTGAGCGAGCAGTAAACATATGGAACAGGGAGACAGCAACAAGAACTTGCATTAGTATGCAGCGCCCTTCACGGGGTAGCCTCCCGGAGGTCTTGCCGGTGGCGGAGAGGACGAGGAAAAAAACAAACAGTGGAAGCGGAAGGTGTCGATTTCCGTTAGAAAATGATATGGTGGGAGACGGATCTGGGACACGACACGCGCTCGTGACTGCCAGGATAACAATAATAATAATAATCCTGGCATTTGATGCAGCGCCTCATCGCGTCGTTGAGACGTCTCAAAGCGCTTCACGGGATATCCCGTGAAGCGGAGTGACCGTGTATTTTGGTGGAGGGCGAACTGGGTGTATCTCGGGGGTCTTCTTGCGTCCAACAAAATCTTATGGTATATTTTTTTCTGAGTGCGAGCTCAGACTGCCCTGTCACAGGGCTTGAACACACAACCTCTTGACCCGGAGAGTGGGGTTGGGGTGGTGGGGGTGGGGGGGGGGTGGGAGCGCTGTTGAGGACAGTATTGAGGCTGTGTATGTGCAAGCGCAGTCCTCTCCTCCTGCGGTAGATTTGCATTGGCCACTTGTGCACCATAACTGATGCAAATACACTGCGCAGACAGAGCCTGAACACAGAGCAGCAGAAGTGACGCATGAACATTATGTGGAACCGAGTCAACACGACACAAGTGATGGTCCCTGCGGTTATTCCTTAAAACAGCTCCGAGCATTTTAAAGCGGGTGGGAGGTGGGGGGGGGGGTTGGGGGATGGGGAGGGGAGGGGGTGAGGGGGAGGTTGTTGGGGGAAGAGATTGATGAAGGACAGAGATGTCAATGTGGTTCCGTCATCTGCTGCTGTCTGACCTCTGACCCGGCTATAGACTGTCTTGAGGTCAGACAGCAGGTGATGGCAGTGCTTTTGTGGCTCAAGTCTTGAAGGAAGGGTTGCGGGGGGGGGTGGGGGGGGGGGGGCGGTGCAGCGCCAGGAAGTTGTAGCCTTTCCTCCCCCCCCCCGCCCTTCTCCTGTGAGCACCTCCTCGCTCTCTTGCTGGGGGGAGAGTGGGGTGGGGGTGGGGGAGAGTACGGATCTGAGATCACCCATTGCCCAAGCTCGACCCCCTCCCCTCCAGGCGTGCGGGGACGTCGCTGAGCGTAGATTGGCTCCCGCTCTGGCCCACAAAAACACACGGTCACTCGCCTCGACAGCGAGTCCTGCTAAGCGCTTCGAGGGACCCTCCCAACACGAAAGGCACCGCGTCAGGTGCAAAGGTCATCATCATCGTCAGAGGAGGAGGAAAACCCGCCATATTCCTCATCCAATGGCGTCCACACACACACACACACACATTCTAGTCGGGCGCGAGAGAGAGAGAGAGAGAGTCACAGATAGTGACTTCCCTCCATTAAGTCCCACTGACCCACCACGTCTCCGCCAACAAAATTCAGCCACTCCGCTTTGCAGCATATCCTCCCGTGACGCGCTTTGAGACGGGTCAATGATGCGATAAAGGCGCTGTATCAGCTGCAAAGATTATTATTACCGTCGTCATTAATTATTACCAACCCTCACCCCCCCCCCCCCCCCAAACCCATCTCCACAAGTCAGGCCTGCGAGCTAACATCACTTTGGCGGAACAACACATCACATTTACACAGTGCCGGACTTTCATGTCGGGAGCCATGTCCCAAGGCGCTGGACAGTCAAGAATTCGCACCCAGCTGGGGGTTGGGATAAGGAGGGGTTGGAGGGCAGGGAGTTGGAAGGTGACTGAAGGCGAGGCGGAGGGAGGCCGGGGTGGGGGGCGTCTTGAGATGTGCCTCGAAGGAGGTAACAGAGGGGGGTTGGGGGTCGAGGTGAAGGAACCCACTGGATTCTTACCGCAATTAAAAGTTATTTAATTAACAATTAAAGCCCAGAATCTCGCCTTTCTGGGTTTCTCTTTTTACGTTTTGCTCTTTTCTCTCTCCCTCTCTCTCTCTCTCTCTTCTCCGCTGGAAAGAATTTGCGAAAGAATTTCGTTTCATTCAAAATGTTTATATAAAGGCGGCAACAGCTGGGCTGCGAGATCTCTCTCTCTCTCTCTCTGGCGCTTTTTTTTTTGACCGCACAAAATGGAAACTAAATAAGCCCTGGGATATGGGTTAAAGTTGAGGAGTCGCGAGGAAAAGGACGAGGCAGAGTTAAGTTAAGCCGAAGGCGAGTTTCGGCTCCGACGCCGAACTTTTAAGACATTCCGAAATTCACTTTTTTTTATTAAAAGAAAAATAACACACGATACGTGTTGGAGAGGTGGTGATGGTGAGGGGTGGGGGGGTGGGGGTGGGGGGGTTTAGGGAGGGAGGTAGTCATGTTCCCACCGCCATCTTCCAAGCATTTTTTTTTAATGTACAAACAGGAATTTCCTGGAGTCATTCAAGGGTTAACAGGGCCTATTTGCTTGTGGGGCCCACAAGCTGAGACACACGCAACTGCACATATCCGACCTAATAAAAAAATAACCGCCAGATTTAATCTAACGAGTAACTGGGGCGGGTGGGGGGGGGGAGAGAGAGAGAGAGGGAGGGGCTGTTAAAAGGGGACACCGATCGTTTGCCCACACCCCCCCCCCCACAAAAAAATTTTGCGCTGCTTCACTAACGTTAAGGGAAAGTGGGCGGACGTTGCCCTTTTAAGGCTGGAACTGAAGAACGGATCTTAACAGATCTCTCTCTCTCTGTGAAAATAAAATATAAAACGCTCCAAATCAAACACATGGCCCCGGAGCCACTTCAGGGGATTGTTTTTTTTTTAGATGATTTTCTGTTTAAGGTTCTAGTAAATCGGGGCCATCGAACTGGGGACAAAAGGTGTTTCCCCCCTCGACCCCCACACCCCCCCCACACCCCCCCCACACCCCCCCTCGGGGTGAATTAAGTTTACGTTGGGCTTCAAAGACCAGGTTTACAAATATGAATGTCCATTTCAAAATGGGGGAGAGAGAGAGAGAGAGAGAGAGGTGTGTGTTGGTGTGTGTGTGGGGGTGAGGAATGGGGGGACTGAGGCCATAAGAAGCGGATCTCGAAATCTCAGCGACCAGAGAGGGGTGAAGCGATACATCGGTACATTCCTATA